GGAGCTTTCTGTTTTAAGGTGTTATGTGAGCATGGAATCAGTTGTTGGTTTCACAGTCATATAGAAGGTCTTGGTACTTAGAATCTTTTTTTTTTTTTTTTTTGTCTTTAAGACAGGGTCTCCTTGCAGTTCAGGCTGGCCTTGAACTCACTTTGTAGCCCAGGCTGGTCTCAAACTTGCAACGATCCTCCTGCCTCAGCCTCTTGAGTGCTGGGCTTGGTGCTCAGAATCTTAAGTGAAGCCCTATGAAGAGCATCCCATGAAATAATCTAACACCAGGGTTTTTTTTTTTTTTTTGGTCAGTATTAATCCTGAGTGTGTCTGCCATCATGCTGCATACCTGGCCTCCACCAGGCTGCCTAGAAGTGGGGACCCCACCACCACACTCCACTTATGGGGCAGCGAGCCTCAGTCATGCTCTTCACCTCCCCGCCTGAGGGTCTACACTCCATCCTGAGTCATCAGTCCCAACTCTGGCCAAAGTAAAGTTTCTTCCAGAGACAAAGGGCAGCAGGCAGTTCTGAGGAGGAAAACTGGGAGGGAGATGGCCGCTCCACAGCACCCCTAGTATCTCACCGGGCCCTGGTTAACACTTGAGGTTTACTTGGAATCACCCTAAATCCACAGCCAAAGCCCCCACCATCCCCGGGGTCCTGAAACACTTTTGAATAGTGTAATGTGGCACCAAATGGACTCAGAGTAAGACCATTTATAGATGAAGCAGCATTTAATGCTTCACACAAAGCAGGGCCTATTTTCAGGGTTTCAAATGCACACATCTAGGCAGATGTGCTTTGCTGAGCAGTTAGGTCTATTATAGACCAGAATCCACAAGTTGTGATTTCTCATTTTCTTATTTTTCTTTCCCTCAAAAAACATTTATATTACCTAAACATAGATAATATACAAATAATGTACACATATTGATTGGTGGGGTGTTTTGTTATTCAATGTATATACCCCCGACAACTTGTATGAATTTTCTATTGATATCAAAATATCTACTGATATTTCATTGCAAAATGAACAGTACAACTGACGAGTGTATGCAGCTAAAACTTGCAATACTGTCCTCACTAAATCTCAGGTTGTCAAAACAAGGTTGTCTAAGACTTGCTTCTTTAAAATAGACATGTGTTGGGTCCAGCAGACCACTGGTGGTTCTCCCTGACCCACCTCTGAGGTCTGAGGCACCTCCTGAGACGCCAGCCAGAGCTGTGGAGGTTTGAGGAAAGTGAACCCAAAGTCAGAGAAGACATGGCTGGAAGCAAATGGGGAAAACAAGTAACAAATGGCACAAAGTGTTTAATTTCCTGCTATTCGTGTGCTCTACAGATTTTACACGCTGTGTATTTACAGGGGCAAGTGCTTTTATAATATTTCATAAAACAAAGATCAAACTTTACACATCTCTGAACAACACAAACTGTCTAAACCATGCAGATTATTCAGATACAGACTATTAAATACATTTTTCCTCATTGGCTCCTGATGCAGGGCCAGTGAGTTCTGAGTGTGTCACACTTTGATAGCATATCCATATTAAAAATAAAATCACAGTATGATTTTGTCTGTAGTTAGAAACCTTAAGGGACCCAACCTGACTACTCAGACTCTAATATCATACAAATGATGAGACACAGTATAAAAGTGTTACGTAATAAAAACGTACTGTGAGCTTTGCAAATGTTTGGACCATACATTCATTATGTGAATATTCATCATAACTGGTAAGTTGATTGGAAAAGTTCCACAAAGTTAATAAACAGAACTTGTCTATAGAATATGTTTTCAAATCCTGAACACAACTAAAATAGGAAACAAATTAGTGTCTACAATCAGAAATTACAGAAAACAGACTGCCCTCAAAGTCTAGTTGAGAGCTTGTAAACTTTTAAATAAGTATGTAAATTAATTATGTGCACTGTCAGTTTGCGCTTTTAAACAATTTCATGGTTTCCCAGTTGGCCTTGCGCCAGATTCTAACTTGGAGGAACATTACATGAAATATGACTAACCAATCAGAATCCAGAATCAAGCAGCATTTGAGATGTTCTATTCCAGGTCGTTATTTTCAATGTGATTTATATACACTATATTTTACATAGTCTGCAGCTGTAGAAAGTGTTTATTCTTTTGGAACAAGGATAATTAAGACAAGGTCAAAAACTAAAAAAAAAAAAGAAACAACAACAAACAAACAAACAAAAAAAAACATGGTAAAATCTGTATGATACTTAGCAAGGAAGTACCATGCAGACTTGCACAAATTTTTCTTTAACATTTAGGCTGAGGTGGCATGGCCTCTTTGGAGCATGTTGAATCTGAAAGACGAGGCACAAGCATTAGTTGAAGGTGGAGACCCCAGGAAGCCAGGCCCCCCTTTCTGTCCCACCCTGTCCGCAGGTCCCCTTGGTCTTTGGGAAGCTCTTTTCCCTTGAAGCCATCACTGCCTTCCTGAATGGCAGTAGAGAAACCCAGGGATGCCAGGCAGCTGCAGAGGAATGGCTGGCGGCCCAGCCAGGGAGGCGCCATCTGCTGGGCCCTGCTGCACCTGCCCAGCCTGAACCCCAACTGTGGCTTCCAATCCTCAGGAAGAGCTTAGTTCCTCAGAGTTAGTGCTTTCCCTTGAGGACACACAGATAAAGCATGTTAATTATTGCATACTGATCTTCTATAGATAATTCCTCTTGAAGTCCATTTATTTATTTTTGTCTTTTTAAGACAGGGTCTTGCTATGTGGTTCGGACTGGCCTTGGTCTCACTTTGTAGCCCAGGCTGGTCTTGAATTTGGAATGATCCTCCTACCTCAGCTTCCTGCAGGGACTACAGGAGTGTGCCACCAGGCCCAGTTTGAAATTCAGTTAAAATCCCCCTTGCTGATCGGGTATGAGACACAAGGGCAGTTTCCTGTCATGGGTTAAATGGCTCACTATCCCTTTTACCTCCAGAGCCACAGAATACAAGTGATTCAGACCCAGCCTCGACACCACGAAGGCTCTGCTCTAAGTCACCCGGACCTCATCCCAACAGAGCGGCCGTGTCAGGTGAGGGCTGTGACCCAGCCTCAGCGTGACCTCTAGGCCTAGGCGCTGAGCTCCTGGGATGGGCTCTGCTGTCTGGGTAGGGGACACACATGGGCTTCTCATCCCAGATGCTTATCCGAGGACTGCTGATTCAGATAGGGTCGCTGCTGGCTTCTTCCAGTGAGGGAGGAGGGAGGAACCAGCCCTGCACTTCCCTTGCCGAGGCTGCCCTAGTCCTGGAAAGCTGACTGTGAAAAGAGGTCTCCATGCTCTCCGGTGCTGGTTTGGAGTTCAGTGCCCCCCACCCCTGCTGCTGTTTCCATAGCTCAACCCCAGGGAATTAGGTTTTCCTCAGGATGTCAGTGCCTTCTCTGTCCCCCTCTGTGCTTCTACAAAGAAGAAAATGGACACATAGCAAAGTACTTACCTCAACTTGCGAATTTTTTGTTTTGTTTTCAGGCTAAGCTTTCCATCACCTAGAAGACAAAGGTTAGGAAACCTTTTAATGACTTTGTACAATTTGTGGTATCTGTGCTCTGAGTATGCATTATGTGGTTACAGTTAGACTTAGTTTTCTTGTAATTTAACACTGGCTGCCTGTGATCAGTCTCACATCAGGCTGAGCGAGTGCAGGCTGGCACTGCCCCTGCTGCAAAGGTCCTCCTGAGAGGAAAGTGAGTTCCCATGAAGATGAGGGCCTCTGGTCCCATGGAAGATGCCCCAGAGGCTGGGGCTAGGGGACAGGCCACACCTGCCCCATCACACTGCTGAGTTATCACAGGAGGTCAGAAGGGACTTCAGGCCAGGGCCAAAGAGATTAACTGGATTTGAATGGAGCCAGAGGTCAGGGGTTTGCAGGAGAAGGGTGAGTGGTCAAAGGTCAGGACACAGGAGCACAAGTGCACAGAAGATGGCAGAGTGCTGGCCTCAGCCAGGCCCCCTCTCAGGAGGCCCGGAGTCCAAGGGCCCTTGGTCTGTGCTCCTGGCAGAAGTGCTGGCTGCAAACCAGTCATCAGTGCTCCTGCACTGGGGACAGAATGGGCCACCACTCAGACACGACCTGACTGCAGCACCTGCAGTGGCTGAGTGGATTCAGCCCTGAATGCCATGCCAACACTGTGGAGGCTGCTGTCCCCAGATGGGTGGCTCTAGCATGACCTGCTCTGCCAGCATGAGGGATTCTGACAATGTGGGAACCCTGCCCAACACACAGACCAGATCTGTGTCACTACCTGATCCTCAGGTAGCACACAGAGGTCAGAAACACCCATCCCCTCTGCAAATCGCTGAAATGTTAATGTGAAACCACTCTGCGCATGTAAATAATTTCTTAAGGCGAAGAGCAAATGCCGCACTGCCTCCCTCCAGTCCTGGCAGCAGCAGTGAGTCTGCCGTGCTCCCTGTGGTGGCCTCAGCCTTCCTGGAGCCTGCTTCTCTTCACAACTGTCAGAGCTGCACACAGATCCCGGTCTGCGGAAGGCAGGAGCCTGGCCCTGCCTGGGCCTCCCCAAGAGAACACATTTCAACCACTGAGGACCCAAAAGGCCTCGGGGCAACCGAGGTGATGTGCCATAATCCCTGCACTGATGTGCATGGCCTTCACTCAAGAAAGTGCCCCTCAGTGTCTAGGGCAGGGCCTGGCTAAGTTTCTTCCCTGTGAAGGGCCAGGTGACACACACTGAGTGTGGTGGGCTGTGAGGTCTCAGCGGTGACTACTCACCTCTGTCAGGAGCACCAACCTCACACAGACCACTGCACGCTTCAGCCAAAGTCTACAGACACTGACATTTGGATTTCACACATCGTTCAGGGGAAGCAAAGTGCTGCTGCTCTTTGGAAGTTTTGAAAACACGAAAGCCATTCTTACTCACAGGTGATGAGCGACAGGCACAGGGCCGGCTTTGGCCTTCGAGACGCAGCTTGTCAACCTGTGCCCGGCCCCAACTCCCGTCACTTTCACTCTTAACAAGCTTCTCAGGCCTCCTCCTCAGGGAACCAGTCACAAAGGGGGAGGGGCTGCCCCACTGCAATCAGAGCACAAATAGCAGTCTACACACAGAAATCCGAGATGCCCGGGAGCCCAGAGTGGGATAGCAGGCCAGGAGCCTCAAAGGCATCCCTGGCAGAGGAGACCACTAAGATTTCTAATGGCCCAGATCATCAAATTATGAGCTAGGATACATTCTGGATGCTTTAAGGAATCAGGAGAGTAAAGCAAACACTGCAAAAGCATCGCTTCCAAAAATGTATGAAAAACACAAATGTTGTGTATGAAGAACACAAAAGTTCTGTCTTGGGAGCACATGATCAGACACCCAGAGTGCCTAAATTCCAGGGTCATAAATTCCACTTCCCGTAACCATCCTTTGGTGCTAGGGATCAGTGTCAGGCACCCAAACTACACAGAGACAATGAGTCACTAGGGGCCTGTGAGTCGAGAAAGATGAGGCAGGAGCCTGTGTCACTCGCGCACCCTTCAGGCCACCTCAGGTTTCGTCTCTGTGTGTCAGTCACCACTTCAAAAACCTTGTCAGAGTTTTTCTCTTCTCAGTTCTAAGAATGTCCTCTTACCTAGGCTATACTCCAACATGTGGCTCTTCTTTGGGAAAGATCCAGTGTCCTCCATGGCCAGGCCATCGGTGAGCAGGTAGCTGCCCTTGGGTCTCTCGAAATAGCTGATGTTCCCATGGCTGGAGGCCTTCAGCAGGTACAGTCCTGGTTCTTTTTCAGAGTTTTCTGAGTTCCTTGGGTGCCTCTTCTTTTTCTTTTTCTTCTTTTTGTGTCTGTAGAGGTCAGCTTTGGAGTATACTCCTTGAACATCTGGATCTAGCTGATGCCTGCAGAAGCAGCAGCCAGAAATTAGCAACCCAAACACCAGCACCACCTCAGACAGCACCTGGCACTGTCGTGACCACGTACTGAGGACGTTCAATGTTTGGGCTCAGGTAAATGCTTATCTAGTTAAAAATGGGTTCTCTACTTTCCCCCGTAGTGATTTTTAAAGCCCAGGGCCAGAAATTCAGCAACTTTAGCTCCGCTCCTGGCACATACCCTTCTGTGGTGCTGGGGCTGTCAGCCAGAACATGACCTGGAGGACTTAAGTGACATCTCCTGGAATCAGTGGCCAAAAGAAGGAAGGAAGGACATTCTGCCATGTGCCTCAGCCATAGAGGAGGGAGAGACTTGTGAGCTGATTCCTTTTCCTAACCATTGCCTATTTACATATGGCTGTTGGCAACCTTTTGCTAGGATTAATTTTAAAAGAAGTCAACTAGAATACATGGGATTCCATTCATGCTCACTCATCTTGCTTTGAACCAGTCAGTTTAAGGCAGTTGCTGGGGCTGGGTGTGTGGCTCACTGGTTAGAGCACTTGCCTCATGAACATAAGGCTGTGGATTTCATCCCCAGCACCACATACAACACACCACATACACACACGACACACACCACACCACATATACCACACCACACCACACACACAAACCAACTACCTATTTAGCATTTTAAAAGTACAAAGACATTTAGGTTTCAGATTGAGAATTAGAGATAAAGGCCAAGAAAATAATGATGCCTTCAGACCTCCACTCTAGGCAGGCAGCCAAATATCAGCAGAACTATGGCCCCCCATTTTCTGCTGACTGGGTAGTCACTAGTTTGAAAAAAATAGCAGATATAAAAATGTAACTACACCTGACCACCAATCTTGAAGTGAGAGATCCCCAAGTTCCCTCTACAGAGCTCACATTTACTCCTAGGAGAGTTATAAAGCATTACCTGAGAGTGGCAAAGTGAGACATTTTATGACACATGAAGTAAGACAGAGCTTGAAAGCTGCACCATTTTAGAAATGTGCGGAAACTGAAGTCTCAAAACCCACAGAGGTGAGGAATTCAGACTCCGCTGGGAGAGCCCGCCCTCACCTGTGGTCACGCTCCTGGTGTTGGTCTTTAGATTTCTTCTTCTTCTTTGACCTTTTGTGCTTCTTCGCCTTAGGCTCCTCCAGGTCTTTGGGCAGGCTCCTGTGGGCTTTCTTTTCCTCATGACTGTCATTACTTTTTGTATTCTCATACCTGCATTTGCGTGACTTCATGCTTTTGTGTTCATAAAACTGATCAGACAGGCCACAGCCACTGTCATCAGCTCCAAAGGCTGCTTTTTCCTGGGAGTAGCGCTTGGGGTGCAGAGGGAAAGGGGGTGCAGCACCTGTGCAAGGGCTGTGGAAGTGGGTCCGCTCCCTCACCCGGGCAGGAGGCTCCCAGCCCTTCCTGGCCGGGGAGGAGTCCTTATGTGGTCCCTTCACACTGGGCTTCCTGCCTGCATATGGAGTGTACCTGTCAGGGTAATACCTGCACCGGTCCCACCACATCTTCTTGGGGTCACACTTCTCTGGGAGCCAGGAGTGCTCGCTGGCTGAGCGGTGATATCGGCTCCAGTCCTGCTCAGCCCCTCTCCTGGTTCGGGAGTGGTGGCAGCTGTACCTTCCCAGATTGCAGCGCTTGCCAGGACTGACTGACTCCCCACAGCACAGAGGGTGCCGGCTCCTGCTGCGGGGCTGCACAGCGGCGTGGCCTTCCTGTTTGCTGTGCTTTCTGGTGTAGGAGTGCCGCTTTCTATGCCAATGACCCCCAGTCCTGCTCTGACTCCGACTCCCACTCCGACTTTTCTGCACATGTTCCCCACTGGAGGAGCGGTCTCGATGGTTACAGTAATGTCCTCTGTTAATTTTCTTAAGGCTGCCGATTTTCCCTTTAACTGGAGGGCAATTCGGAACCTTCTGGCAGGCTTTATCTTTGTCACACCTCTCCCCATGACTGTGTCCAGGATCCCCTTCAGGATGGGCACCTGAGGTCCTATGTGGCTGAGCAGAGGGCAGTGCATCAGCAGATTCATCTGCGCTCCAGGACAGGGCCTCTGTGTCACTACACAGGTCTCCACTAAGGGAAACCGAGAGTTCAGGCTCCCATCCACCTTCTGGATGTGTGGAGGAAGCTGGGCTCAGCTGCTCCACTGTCTCTGCTGGACCAGAGTCCTGCAGGCTCTCAGGTAGCAACACTTTGTCCTCCTGGGTGGTTTCACTGCTGTCCTGTGTTCCCTTATCAGTGCCACAGGGTTCGGGAAGTACATCTGCCCCCGTGCTGTTTACGATACACAAAAACTCATCAGGTTTGGCTGAGCTGTTTTCTGAGGTAACCTCTTTGGTAGATGTGAGGCTGCTGCCAGGGGGCAGCAAAGCCTCCTTAAATTTGCTGCATAGACTCATCCTGTCCAGTTTCTTGGGGGAACCAGCAATGGGGCTGCCAGCCTCAGGCTCCAAGACGAGGTCCCCTGATGGACTCTGCCCTGTTGTAGGTGGACTGCACCCCAGCCAAAAGAAAGACACAAGTCAATAGTTAGCATGACTGCTATACAGGTTTTGCCATGGCTTATATTTACTAAATATTTTATCACTTTAAATATAGCTGGCCACAAGTCACTATCAGGCTATCATCTCTAGACAGCAAATTTTCTTATTAATTAAAAATAAAATTTATATCAATCCTGTTTTTCTTTTTTTTTTTTTTTTTTATCGGTACCAGGGATTGAACTCACGACTGCCTGCTTGCAAGGCAGGCACTTATGCTGCTGAGCTAAACCCCCAGCCCATCAATCCTGTTTTTCACCAATAATAATTCTGCACCTCTAAACTTTTCCTATTTCCAGATGCATGTCTAATTCTTAAAAATTGGTCTAAACAAACAGCCGAATCACGGACTGCTGACTTTTCTGGCTCCCTTTTTCCTCTTGGAGCCTCAGAAGCAGAGCAGCTATTTCCAGACAGAGCCAACAGCTCCTTGAATCGTGGAAAACAGGGACTCACTGAGGCTCTGGGGAAACCTTCTGCAGGAACTGCAGGCTGCCGTTGGCACCTGGGAAGCTTCTGACACACTCTCAAGGTTAGCTGCCAGCTGCCAGGAAGCAATCAATCACCCGCCTGGATCTCGGCTCTTCAGTGAGGAGATAACTTGTCCCCAGTCCCCACGGGGAAGTTAGTTGTCCTGAGAGTAGAAGCGGGGTTCTTGGGGCCACACGCAAAGGAAGGCGTGCTTGGCTGCAGTACCTACAGGGCCTCATTTACACAAATGTGTAATTACTCTCTTGCACACTGAATTTGGGGACCAGGGTGGGTTAGGAAAGAAACCAGGGAAGACCACTGTGAAATGACAGCGCAGCCCCGCTGCTCTATCTTAAGGTCAAGTGGGAGTGAGCGTTCTCTGCCTCTTCACTCTTAACAGTTCTGCACCCTGACTCAGGGTCTCAGGGGCCATCTGGGCTGCGCAGTGCCAGGAGGAGGCTCCTCCCCTGCACGTCCTCACACCCATGGGTGAAAATGCCAGTCGTGTTACTGCCACAGTTTTCACGGACACTACACTCCCCAGGAATCCAACAACCGTGTAAACTGAGGAATGGTCACACCGTGATGCGGCTGGAACTTCACCAAAAGTCAGTCACCACCGCAGCCCGACAGCGCAGATGGCAAATCTGGAGGCAGCGTTTATGCTGAACGGTTACACGGTGAACCTGCGGGCAGGCGGCTGCCACCTGATGCAGAGACCTGCAGCAGTGGTTTCACCTGCAGTTTGCACACGAAGCAACCACGCCTGAATTTCAAACTCCTTTCCTCTTATTCCTGAGTTATGTTACAGGTAGGTGAATATATTGATTTTTGCTAAAATTGAATATGGGGACAAATTATATTTTCTGTGAATTTAACTTCAAATTTCTAGAGAAGCCTTTAGAAAATACATGCTTCATGACAGTACTGGGACCCCTCTTTCTCTAAACTCAGTTTTCCCTTCACATACTCATTCATCATTAAAAAAATGAAATGGGAAAGCGCATGGGTCGGATTCAGAGGTGTGCAAGGGCACTGCTGGCCAGGGCAGGCGACACAGAGGAAAACGACAAGCAGTCACAGACAGCTTTCTCACTCTCCTCAAAGGCAAATTAACATATCCAATAGGTTATTTTTCAAATAGATAGATAGATAGATAGATAGATTGGGCTTAGTGAACAGACAGCTTATTATGATTCTGATGGTGATTTTTTTGTTTCTCAGGGTGTTCTGGAATCTCGGGGGCTGTTAACTGACCAGTTTTGGATAGAAGTAGTCATATTAACAGGACCACACCTCTTGACTCTGGGACTTCCACTGGGACTTGACGTGGAACTCCTTGGTGGGTCATTCCCTGGCCTGGTCCCATTGGCGTGGGGTGAATTCTGCAAGGAAGAAAGCCACAGCCAGGTCAGCACTGCAGAATCAGGGCCTGCTCTGGCCCACAGACTCCCTTTGCTCTTGTGACTGACAAGTTACACAAATCTTGAACACAGCCCCTCTCTTTCATCTGCTCTGCCCATGTGCACCTTTCTCAGGCCCTAATTTTCTGGTTAATCCACACATGGGACACACAGTGTCTGTCAGAACACAGCCCTCCTGACATGAGTTCACATACATTCTCCTCGGCTGGCTTTCCCAGAGGCTACCACTATGCAGACAGAAATAAAGCCAGCTTTGTGGCCTTCAAGCAAGGGAGAAAGTACACGGGCAGGAGGAAAGGCCGCTTCAGGACTGCATGTGAGGTCACGGCTGCCGCCGCCGCCCAGTGATGCCTCAGCATTGTACTCATGCAGCTCTGTTGCTCCAAGTTCCCTGACTACCACTGAAGCCCTGTGACAACACATGCAACAGCTGGTTCACAGACAAATGGTGTTTGGCTTTGTCAGTGTTCTCTTAAATATCTGAATTTGATGCTGTCTTCAAATAAACAAAAACAAAAACAACTCTTAAAAAGTCAGTTACACCTGCCTCTTCCTTTAGGTGCATACTTTCTGGTTTTCCAGTCCCCGTGTCACTCTGAAGCAGAGCCCCATTCAGACGCTGGCTAGCAGACCAGCTTACAAAAGCATTTAACTGAAACAGAGCCTAATATCTACCAAAACAAGCATTCGACTAGATAATCTGATAAGCCAAACTCAAACTCAAACTCACTGTGTTTTTAAATTTGTTTTTTGAAACAGGACTTCAGTTTGTAGGCCAGGCTGGCTGTAAACTCACTACATAGTCCAGCATAGACTGTAAAACCCAAGACACTGTAAAACCTGACAGCAGCAGTGACCTCATGTAGTTCAAGCTGCAAATGGTCTGGGCGTGGGGTCCCGGCAACTCTGGAGGGCAGGTCCTGCCCTGAGGACCACATCAGGCCTCTTGACCACATAGGCACATGGGCATGTTCCCTTGGGGACAGCAGATGGAGAAACAGCACAGTCCTAAGACAGCTATGTGGACATAAGGTGTCCTTTTAACAGGATCACTTTCCTGATGTCTAACATGGGTTAAAACCTATCTGACCCCTGAGTAGGGGCCTAGTCCACAATGGGTGTCACCTTTAATACACTCACACCAGCTGTTCCTGTTTACTTCTATGCTGAGATTCTCATAAATTTAGTATTTTGGGGTTTTTAAAAAATTTTATTTAAAGAAAGACTAAACAGAACAGAAAATAGGTAGAAATAATACATAGTTAAGAGAAAAAAATAAACAGTAAGAAATCACTAGTTGATATTTACATATTGTTGTTTTACAAATAGTTGTTCAAGATACAAAAAATGGAACATGTAAATGGGGAATTCAAACAGCAAGACCTCAAACAGTTCTGTTCAGCTGTCCAACAAAACCTTAGTAAGATGGTTGTCAATCCTATACACTTAAACATACATGCAGTTATCCATATCTTCATTTATGTCTAGATTAAAACAAACTAAAGCAGGTTAAAATCATTCTGAACAAAGAATAATAATATTGCTGGATTTCACATCATGACACTCCATGATCAGTACTGGGTACTGTAGTGTCTCTTTTTTAAAATTTAATTTAAAGAAAGACTAAACAAAACAGAAAGCAGGTAGAAATAATATATAATTTCAAAGAAAAAAATAAACAGTAAGAAATTACTAGTTGATGATTACAGATTGTCTTCTTACAAATAGTCATTCAGAATACTAAAGTAGAACACATAAAGTAGGGATTCAAACAGTGAGATTGTAACCAGTAGTGTTCAACTATCCAACAAAAACTTAGAAATATGGTTATTAATCTTATACACTTATACATGCATTTATCCATATTCAATTATGTTGAGATTGAATAAACCCAAGCAGGCTAATATCACTCTGGACAAAGAATAATACTATTGCTGGGTTTCACATGACACTCCAGGATCAGCACTGGATATTTTAGTGTCTCTTTTTCTTCAAAGTATGTGTTTCTTTCATCATGTGTCATAAGTTCTCATAAACTGTTTATAGATTCTACACATGTATGAGTCTTAACATGTATTTCTATCCTTTTTATATTAGAGGGAGAAACAAAACAAAGCAAGGCAAAACAAAACATATTCCTATAAACAAACATTTAATATTTCAAAACAAAGGACCTGAATGAACTTTTTGACAAGCAATCCAGGTTTAGACAGGACATGACAATCACTGGAATGTTAGCCTGAAGGTTTGAGGACAGACCCTTAGAGTGAGGTAAAATCAGAGGCCACCTCTGAGGTGTTACCTTCACCGTGTGAGGGGGAAGCTGTGGTCCAGGAAGCTCTGCTGCAGCCTGCTTGTTACCGATGCCCCGAGGACTGGTGACCCGGTGGGGAGAGGACTGGCAGCGGTGATATGTGGGATGCCTAGCAAATTCACTCCCACTTTTCACATCATTGGTCCTAGGGACAAAGAATGAGAGGGTTTAGGGTGATGGAGGGCATCTTAGTAGAGACAGATTTACATACAGACTCAGTCCCTCTGGAAGTCACTGATGGCAAAGGCACCGATTCCAGTCACACTGCATGGAGCCATAGGCCGCACTAGCTGCTTTCGGGGTGTAGGTCAGTGTGAGTGCTCAGCTCAGGACACAAGGGTAGCTGGGTAAAGGAAATGGTATTTTTAAACTCTATTCTGATGCTGCTTCTATCAGGATACTTTTCTGCTTGTGTTTATAAATTAAAAATATATACCATTGTAGAAAACTTACAGTGTCCAAAAATAGGAAAAAACCATGGTATCCCCCCCAATAGTTCCCCTTTGATTGGATAGATAATCTCCCATCTTTCACTCAACACCAGTGTTTAATATTTCAAACTGCTTTTCCTCCACATACAGTCACCACTTTCCTAAGGCATTAAAAAAGGTTTATAACAATCACTCCTAGCAGGCGATGGGCAACATAGCAAGACACTGTCTCAAAAAAGAAAGGAAAGAAAAAAATCTTAACTGCATAAAATTTCAATTCATCATTCTGCTGTTGTTGAGCATTTCAGGGCATTCTTAACTTGAAGCTACCATGTTTAAAAGGGATACCTTGGAGGATGTGGTGTGGCTCAGTGGTAGCGTCTGCCTAGCTTGCTTGTGGCTCTGGGTTTTATTCCCAGCATGACTAAAAGGGAGGCGGGAACAACATGGAGTACATATCAAAAATTTTTTTTTCCAAAAGTGGAATTTGTGAGTCAGTTTGCAGCTGCAGCAGGATCAACCCAACTGCTGGTCCCAGCCCAGGCCAATGCCTAACTAGCATTGTGCTCAGCACTGGGGAGGTGCTGGGTGGGACCATGCAGGGTGCTCAGAGCTCCCTTCCCCAGCCCTCTGCCCATGGCCTCCACATCTCCAGGTCCACTCCGTTTGCTGCCAGCAGCATAAGCCACTCCACTCCCTCAGTGGTCAACTTTCTCTGTCTTGGCCTCTGGCACTGAGTGCCAAAGAGCTGGATGCTAACGTCGGCTCACAATCCGTGCTCAGAAGTGGCCTCCTGACTTTCCACACACGTGGCAGCGTAAACCTTAAACTCCGGTCTTCAAAAAGTAACTCAAGGGCTCAGTGGTATAAGCGCCTGCCTGGCAAGTGCAAGTTTCTGAAATCAATTCTCAGTGCCACCAAAAAAACAAAAACAAAAAATCTCAAAACTGAATTTAATGTAGGTGAGATGAAAACAAATAACATTGCAGAACATTTGGTAGCTTTTTTTCATGACAGTACCTTATATAAAATAGTACGTAGGCTTGCTGGCTTAGCACAGATTCAGTATCACTGGGAGATACCTTGGAGTCATTCATCTGGTACCACAGGCCATTGCTAGCCTGCAAAAGACAGCCAGTAAGAGACAAACTTCAGATTTTGTTAGTTAACAAGGACAGAATAAAAAGAATAAGAAAAAGAAGCATTCACACTTTAATTGTGAAACTCCCACCTTCCCCCCCAAAGAACAGTAGTGCTTGCTGTCTACATGGCTTACTTTTACGTGACATAAATAATGGCCCACACGGCAGTTATATCCTGCGTGGATCAGTACTGCATACAAAGTGTATACAATAGGTTCTCCATTTGGCTGTGACGTGAATGGCCTAATGTCGAGATATTCAGGGTATTTCACATCCTAAACAGAAATGGACAGAGGAGAAAGGAATGTCACTTCTAAAGGCACAGAAGGCCCCACATACTCAGGGGTGGGTTATTTAGGGTGTCCCAGGAGACCTGTACAACACAACACAGGGATGTTCCAACAGAAACCCAGTACACTGAATCACATTTCAGAGGACACAGCCTGGAGGATCCCTGATCTAACTGTAGCTAAGGTGTGTGTCTTTATTTTCCTTAAACAAGTAAGGATCCATATTAAGTGAATTCTTCAAATCCATGAGATGCAAAAGTCACAAAATGACAACTCTGGACAGTCACCACCAATTATTTTAATTTTAATTAGTTGCTTTTGTATTTTGAGACAGAGTCTTACTATGTAGTTCAGGCCTGCCTTGAAATCACTATGTAGCCTAGGCTGACCTTGAACTTACAGCAGTCTTCCTGCCTCAGCCTCCCTAGTGTTGGGATTACAGGCATATGTCTCCATGCCAGGCAACCTCAAATAATTTAAGAACATATTAGTTATTTCTCTTCTGTGTCACCACATTTTTAATTTGTTTCTGAAATGAGACTTCACAATGTAGGCCAGGTTGGCTTTAACCTCGCTATATGGTCCAGCATGGCCCCAAACTCCTAATCCTCCTGCCTTAGTTTCCTGAGTGCACCATGCCCAGCTTTGCTGGTGAATTTTGACCACTTTCAACCTTTAGTAAGTGGGAAGAAAAGAGGAAAATTCAGTGTAAGTGAAAAAATCGGAAAACAGTAAACAAGAAAATAAAAGAGAGGAAAGATTTAGTGAAGAAATCCTCTTCGGGTTTCAAACTGTACAAGCTCTCTGTATCCACTCATTACCTTGGATACCAAAGAACTGACTATGAAGCCCAAACACAGAGACGCGTTCCCAATTTTATCACTAGACAGGGTACAGTAAAAACACATGTACTCATAGGCACACAGACCAAACTCTTAATTCTTTGACTTCTTTTCTGTTAAGCAATGTAAGAAAGGCTCAGAAAGCCAATCAACAAAATTGTTCAGTTAGGTAATTTAGTAATCCTTAACAGCTACTAGCACTTAAGTGGTCGCTCCACATAAAAGGTCATTAATAACAGCATCTACACACCTTAGCAATTTTCCCACCAGTGGAATTTGAAAAACGTTTTAGAGAAAGTATAAGAACGTTAGATGACTGATGTATGGTAAAATTCTTTGAAGCCGTAACCATGGTTTTGCACCTTGAAATAAACAGAAACAAAAAAGATTAAGATTAATGTGTGGATTTTTTTTTACATTTTAGTCTTTAGCTTGCTATTTCTCTGAAGCACCCTAATTTAAGATTCCCAAACAAGGATAATAAATGAGGGACATCACTTTCTCTAAAAAAAAGTAAAAATATTTTAAAATACTGTGGTTAGCCAGGCATGGTGGCACACACCTATAATCTCAGCACTTGGGAGGCTGAGGCAGGAGGATCACCATGAGTTTTAGGTCAGCCTGGACTACATGGTGAGTTCAAGGGCAGTCTCAACTACAGAGAGATCCTGTCTCAAAAACAAAAATATAAACAAAACAAAATACAAAACTTGGGGAAATTGCCTAGCAGGATGACAGGAAAAAAAGCAGAAATCTGAAACAGTGGGATGCACAGGGCACTGATGATGTGAAAACCACATTAACTCATTTGAGGGCGTGGCTCAGAGGTGGGATGCTTGTCAAGTACGCATAAAGCCCTGAGTTCAACCCCCAGCACTGCAGAAAAAAGAATAGGTTAACTCAACTCAAAAACTGAAAATGAATTGATGTTTTATGCTGGTATAATTCTGTGAAAGCAAAGCTCTGCCCAGATACAAAAGGAAAAAAAAAGATGAAGAGTGTCAGGAAAAATCTCTACTCTTGGTGAGAAAAGCACCATCTTCCCCCAAATACTAAATACTTGATGCTAAAAAATTCTTTAATATAGAGATACCTGTATCACCTGACTATAAAGTGGAAATCTACTTAAAACATATCAAACAGCAATTTACAAAACAGACTGTCTTGATTGCCTGGGGAAATGTATCACTGAGTAATGTAGATTAGAGGCTTGCAGCCAACACTACCCCACCCCACGGTACCCACTGTGAGAAAGATCCTCAGCTCTTCTGGGGGAGGAGGGAACCCCACCGTACCTCCCTCCAGTCTTGTCTGACAGGAATCAAGGAAGATGCTGCTGAGCAGATGTTGTGGCAGCTCTGAGGCACCCAGGGTGGCAGCACTATTCCCTGGGCACAGAGCTGCCCATCCTGAGACAGTGCGGGCACCAGTTCCGGCCTACGGGGCACAGATGGCCAGGATCTCCCAGAGGGCACCAGAAGCTAAGGCCACCTAGCGGCCATTCAAACACGCCTGCTCTTTAAAACCAGGGCTCCCTGTCACCCCAACTGGAGCAGCCAAGTCAGGGACTGCAAGTCGCCCCGTCATACTTGCTACACTGGTAGCAGTTTTCTCCATCCAGCTGTTCCGGCTTCACAAACTGCGCCAGCGCCTCATTGATAGTCCGAGCACCCTGGGAGGAAAAAATCATCAAAAGCACGTCACCACGCGCTGTCGTGGTTTATGAGAGAGCAAGCAAGCAGGAGACTCGGAGAAACAAAGAGAATTTTATGAAAACAATGTTTTTATGGGTGTGTGTGGCCGAGCTCCCAGCTACTTGGGAGACTGAGGCAGGAGGACTGTAAGTTTGGGTCCAGCCTCAGCAACTTAGGTCCAATTTAAAAAAATTTTTTTCTTTTTAATGGGCTGAGAATGGAGCTAAGTGGCAGTGGGGGGCTCTGGGTTCAATCTCCAATGCCAATCCCCCCAAAATTGTCCCCCACCCCAATTAAAAACAAGCAGATTAAAGTGAACAAAAGTACGTGAGGAGGTGGCTCGTGCAGCTTTACTTAGAATACTGTAAAAGTGGAAATCAACAAGGAGCTATGGCCACCTACTGGCCACCACCAACTGCCCAAACACGCTCATGAGGAAGGCCTCCAAGTAGATGGACATGAACACAGCAAGTGGACAAAAAGACAAAGGCATGATCGCTTTTTAAAAATTGTCTTTTAAAAAAATTAAAGAGAAAAATCAATAAAAACACTGATACAAAATTTCAAACAAGACAACAGGAGAGTAACAATGGTTAATACATTGCTTGTCGTCATCTTCAAAGTAGTAGCTCAGATTGCAAGAAATAGAATATAAGAAAAGAATACAATGAAAAACTGATCAAGTAGTACAAACACAAACCTGTCTTTTCAGTGCACTAAGAGAAATTAGTAGTGTGACTGTCCTAACTATCTTGTGTCTGTGTGTATACATTTCCCCTTCCTCCTTCTCTCCTTTCCCCCACCACATTTTCTCTTCCCTTTAAACAGTTTCTTCCCATGTCACGACAGCTAGTGTACATTTTGGATCTCACTTATTCTTTCAGTTTCTCTCACTAGGGAGACACTATGATGGTTGCAATGCCAGTCTGATTTATTTCACTCGTGTTGCATCTATTGTTCTTTAAAGTCTCAAGCTTATCCTTCTTTATGGCTCAGTAGTACTATATTGTATAAAAGTGCCACATCTTTTTTGTCCATTCCTTAATAAGCATTTGAGTTGTTTCCAATTTCCTAATTTTGGAAACAAACAGGTGCACATATATCACTGTGGTATGACGTTTTTAATTCTTCTGGGAAGACACTCAGAAGAAGAGTAGCTGGATCAAATGGGACCTCTAGTCTTAGTTTTATGAGGAATCTCCTCACTGATTTCCACAGTGGTTACAGAAGTCTACACTCCCACCAACAGTGGAGAAGAGTTCCTTTCCCCACAGCCCCTCCAGCATTTGTTATTGGCTGATTTCTTGATGATGTCATTTTATCTGGGGAGAGATGGGGTGCTGTTTTAATTTGCATCTCTTGAATGACCAATGATGTTGAACATTTTTCATATATTTATTTGCTATTTGTATTTCTTCATCTGAGACATGTGTATTCATCTCAGATGTCCATTTTTGGATTGGGTGTTTGAATTTGTGGGGTCTAATTTTTTTCAATTCTTTATATATTTTAGGTATATGTCTTTCGTCTAAGAGACAGCTGACTAATAGATTTTCCCACTCTGTGGGTTGTATTTTCACTCTGTTGGTGATTCCTTTTGCTGTGCAAAGACTTTTAATAAGATTAGATCCCATTTGTTTATTCCCATTTTAGATCCCATTTGTAGTGTTTCCCAAACAGTCTGGGTTTTGTTTTTGAGATGTCTGCCAACATGTTTGTCTTTGAGATTTCTACCTATTTTCTCTTCCAGTAGATTTAGTGTTTCTGTTTTAATATTTATATCTTTGATCCATTTTAACTTTAGTGCATGGTGGTAGACAAAGGTCTAGTTTCTTTTTTTCTCTTTTTGAAATACTGGGGATCTATCCCAGGGCTTTCATACGGAGCTAACTTCCAAGCCCTTTTCTTATTTTTATTTCAAACAGTGTTTCACTAAGTTGCCCGGCTGGGTTCAAACTTGTGATCCACCTGCTTGAGCCTTCCAGAGTCCTGGGACTATCGACATGCCTCATTGTGCCCTGTTCATAACCTTATTTTTATAATTAGTATCTAATCTATTCTGGTGCAGTGTATATCAAATGATTAAGAGCATTAATCAGACTTCCGGGAGAACATGGTGGACAGATAACAGCAACTACCGGAGGCTCTCTGAAAGACTTGGCTCAGAAGCCAGGAATGGTGCGGACTAAGGAGACATAAGCAGGTGGAGATATGCTCTGCTGACTCAGGAACGAACTGGGCTGAGAGAAACCAACTTGGAATGCATTCCTGGTGCTAAAACAGGAACAGAAAAGCCTCGGTGTGGAGGCTGGACCCCGCGCCATTGTAAGCCGCGATTTGGGTTTCCTGCCGCGTGGTGACTGGCTGCCTCTACAGTGGCTCAGCAAGGAGAGAGACGCGCAGAAGCTCTGAGAACGGCAATCTGCGAACGGCAGGGAGGCGTGCACTGACTTGTGGTGAGGTGAGTGAGAGAAGCTGACACTCTACCACAGTTTGACTCCAGCGGAGGACTTTCTGGGCCCAAGCAGTCCTGCGGGAGCAGGGCGTGGTGGCAACTCCAGCCACACATCCCCCTCTCGGGCGGAATTGGTGAAAAGCGCCTGGCCTGCGTGACGCTGCCGGCGGACCTGGTAGGCTGTCCCAACCCAGATCCCAGAGCCTGACGGTGGCCGGGAGGGGAGACACGTAGGCTGCCTGGTCCGTAACTCCCTGGTGCGCAGCGGTGAGCGGGAACACCTAACTGGCGCAATTCGATCAGGCTGTGGCTGACTGGGAGAGAAGCTGGGCCTCTTATATAAGCTTGCATATATAAGGAACAGAGAAGAAGAGGCAGCATGGGAAGAGGCAGCAACAAGAAAGGCTCCTCGGCCCCCAATTCTGAGAAACAGGCAATAGCAGACACCGCACCAATATACATAAGGCACCATATAGAGAGCCTCATAGACCAATTCAGGAATGAAGTTATCAACGACCTGAAGCTAGAAGTATGCAGAATAGTTAGAGAAATGCTAAGTACCACCCAAGAAAAAACAGGCGGTGGAATGGAAGAACAGAAAAAAAAGGGAGAATTGTTTGATGGAGAAAACAGAGAAACCATAGAATACGTGAAGCAGGTTCAAAGGGACTACCAAGATACCAAGAAGTCTATAGAAGACTGGCATAACAGCTTGAAAGAAACTAAGGACAGACTATCTGAACTGGAGGGCAGACTTGTAATATGGGAGAATGAAATGAAAAACTTCTTAAAAATAACAAAGAAACAAACAGCAATAATACAAAGACAAGAAGATGATAAGAGGATCCATAACTTAAGGATTAAGAACATAAAAGAAGAAGTAGGGACACAAACAAGTGAACTACAAAAGCTACTCACAGAAATAATCCAGGAGAATTTTCCTAATTTAGCAAAAGGTAAAGATACTCAGATATATGAGGCATACAGGACCCCAGCTACCTACAACCCAAACAGAGCAACACCCAGGCATATAATAATAAAAATTCCAGAAATTCAATACAAGAACAGAATATTAAAAGCTGTAAGAGACAAGAAACAGACCACTTACAAGGGAACACCCATCAGAATTACAGCAGATTTCTCTGCACAAACCATCAAATCACGAAGAGCGTGGGGGGAAATAATTCAAGCTTTGAAAGATAATAATCTCCAGCCAAGATTGAGATATCCTGCACAACTGTCCCTGGAAATTGATGGAAAAACAAGGTGCTTCCAGGATAAAGAGGAACTGGGGGAATTTGCAACCACCAATTCAACTCTACAGAGAGTATTGCAGGATATTCTAAAAAAAGAAAAATACAAAGAATCCAGAAATAATGGCAGAGAGGCCACAACGAATGGAACAGAGAACAAAATGAAGAAGACAAACTGACAGCTACAGACAGAAAAAGAGCTCAATAGAAATGAGGCAGAGAAGATTGGATGACAGGAACAGCTATTTTGGAGAAAATGACATCTTAATAGGTAATACTGATTTAGTATCATCTTGTTTTGAAGTCTCATCTAGCTTTTGTCCTTCTGTCTCCAATAGTCTAAATAGGTTGTATCTTACTGGATTTTATTATGTACGATAGTATAAGCAAAAACCTTGTAAAGACAAGGAGATTATACAGAAACCATTATTCATTTTCTGTTAGTCGATTCTCAATACTCTGTAATGCTGTCATTCTCTTGAATGGTTTTACATTGTTTTGATATACTTAATGCTACAGTATACGAAGTTGTACTCAAGGATTTCAAAGAAAGACAATATGGTAACTACTTTTAGGTTAGGATTATCTGGTGGTGAAACACTATTCTGCTTAAATGGTTATGTTTTGATCTGCGCTGTTTCGTTGTTATGCCCTCTTTTATCTCAATCTCCACTCCATTATTTACTTTTTTATCTTTATCCTTTTAATTAAAGGAAAAAAATAGCAGGATATATTATAGTAACCCACTTTGACTTTTCATTACCTTGATTTAAAGCCCTGTATTACTCTCACCATCTGGTTTTTAACTGATGTTCCCCTATTCTGTTTTGCTGGATAGTATCAGGTTCGAAAGTTTAGGCATCAGCTGTGAAGATAATGAGATTCATTATGACGCCCATTCTTGTTGACTTTTATCTACTTTTGAAGACCTACAATGTCTCCAATGTTTTGGTTTTGTTGGTTTTATTCTTCACTGTTTTGTTCAATTGTATTATAACTAACGATATAGGCAATTCTATTAGAGATAGCGGGAGGCATTATAGTAACCATTGTTGATCACCTTGTATTATGTTTTTACATTATCTATTATGTCCACCCTTTTGACTTGACCGATTCTGTTCTGTTATGTCACATTTGGTTTTACTCTCTTCCAAAAAAGTAATAAGAACCGTGGGAGCAATGAAACCCAAAATGTGTAATAGTCATGGTACAAAAGAGAGGAAAAGAAAGTGCTCCAAACTATATAACTGCATGTATATTTAAGTGTATAAGATAGAAAATGATATCACAGAGTTTTATTGGATCAATGAACAGAACTGTTTGCAGTATTGTTGATGGAATGTCCACTTTACAAGCTTTAATTTTGTGACTTGAACAATTATTTGTAAGATGACAATATGTAATCCATTAACTAGTGATTTCCTACTGTTCAATTTTTTTTCTGTAAATCTGTATAACTTGTACCCTTTCCCTGCTTTTTTTTTCTTTTCTCCTTAAATAAAATTTAAAAAAAAAAAAGAGCATTAATCATGAAGGGTAGGCTTTACATATATCTGCAATATTTATCTTTTTCATTATAAGCATACATTATACCTGTAATCAGAAAAATAAAAGCTCAAAAATATAGTTCAGAAAATGTAAGATGTAAAACAATTTCTAAGCAATAAGAACTATCTAAGGTTTGCTAATATAGGTATACAAAACCTGGTTTTATAGCCAAGTATGGTGCCATGTGCCTGTAATCCCAGTATTTGTAAGACTGAGGTAGGAGGATTTCCACAAATTTGAGGCCAATCTAGGCTACATAGTGAGTTCGAGATTAGCCTGGACCACATAGTGAGACTGCCTCAAAAAGCTGGAAAAAAAGAAAAAAGAAAAAAGAAAAAGTAAAGCCCTAGTTTTCTTTTTTGGTCTTTTCCAGGCAGAATTTCACTATATGGTTCAGGCTGCCCCTGAACTCACTTTGTGGGCCAGGCTGGCCTCAAACTCACTGTGCTCCTTCTGCCTCAGCCTCCAAAGTGCTAGGATTACAGGCATACAGCACCAAACCCAGCTAAAGCCTTGGTTTTATTAAGATTTACTTAAGTGAAAAGTTAAAGGATAACAAAGATTTAAAACTTGACCACCATTAAAATTATTAAATTTACCTTTATCTCCAAGGTAATATCCAGATATGGATCAAAGGTATCTGAGACACCCTTGCAATTTAAACATTGGACTGAAATAAAAATAAAAGATAAGCAAAGTGTAATCATTATGACAGCCTCAAGTATTAAAATTACAGAATACAAATACTATTTCAAAGAAAAAGAAGAGTATAACTTTTCTCCTACTGCACTGGGAAAAAAGTTAATCTTCTACACAGTGCAGGAAAAGATCTTATGAATTTGGCCCCTTGTACACTTCTGGGTGGAATATAAACTGGTATGATCTCTTAGAATGACAGCGGGTTCGTATTAAAATTTAAAATACAGCTTAGGATATAAATTCTAATTCTTGCCATTTTGCGCTGGAAGAAAATAAATTCTAATACCATGCACACTGTTACACAGACACAAAAGCGTGAGCACATGGGTGGTGTTCATATAAGGCAATGATGGTGACAACAGAACAGCAAGCTAAATATCCATCGATGGGGGAGTAAGACAAATGGGCGCCACTGCAGCTGTGGAACAGCCCGTCAGACCTGTGTGTGCTCAAGTAGAAAGATTGCTACTCATGTTAAGGCAAAACACAACTACTCCACAGTCGGCTCTCAGCGTGCTGATGAATAAGAAACTACCAGGAGGAGAGACTAGGAACTGGTACAGGGGCTGCTCCAGGGAGGAGGAGGGAGTCTCTGCTTTTCCTTATTTCCACAGTTTTCATTCTAATACCACATGCGTGTGCCACTTTATCAACTTGTGAACAAAAACTCACCTCTAGATCTCAGGTATCCCCCGAACACCTGGCAAATTAGTGTGGTGGCCTGGGTGTGTCTGTCTAACCTGAAAAAGACAAAACAGTGATGTAAGAATTCTGCAAAATTTTGGATGCTCTAACTAGATTTTAAAAGCATGTATATTTATAAAAGAATAAGAATTTAGAGAGGAGAGACAGAAAATAAAAGACCAGTCTGTGTGGTATCAGAGGTTGGCCCTGCCTGGTGGCGCACAGTGACAATCTGGGGAGGAGGACGGAAGGAGCTAAATTATGGAGGGACTTTGAAATCAAGACAGGAATTTGGCTCTCAAGCAAAGCAGCAGGAGGAAGACGCCCTCAGCAGCCCTGTGACCCCACGTGGGCTTGGGGAAGGAAGGGAAGGCAGAGTCTGTCATTGTCCAGACGGGGAAGCCCTGGACAGGGAGAGGAATGCAAAGGGAGCTCCCTGTACCGGGTGTGTGGGCAGTAGCGGGTGGGTTAGGAGTGTTACACAAGGATCTCGCCCGTCTTTCTCTTGGGTCTGCATTTAGATTTTAGGAGAAGCCACAAGAACTGGACATTGACAGGGAGAGAGAGGGGAGGCAGGAAACACTTATTAGTCTGGAGCTCAACAGAGAAAATGCCTGGCACAATTAGAAGCAGGGACTTTTAGACCTGCCAGAGCGTGCCGACATGGAAATTAAGAACAGCGAAACCAATGTTCATTTCCTGACATCTATAATTGAAGAAATTCCAATTGTGATAGTAAGGACATCTTTTTAACTTTCAGTCATTTTAAAATAGTGCGAATTGGGGCCGAGGATTTAGCTCAGCAGCTCAAGTGCTTGCCTAGTAAGTGTACCCAACATAAACACAGGCATAACAAGGCAGAGGTGTAAACTGAAGAAATGCTGTGTGCTCACTCGTTGCTGCCACTGAGGCACGCTTCTTGCATGGCGTCAACCGTGTGCTGAAGAAACTCATGGGCATCTTCTTGCTCGCCAATTTGGAAGTGGCTGGCTATTCCTGTAGGTTTTAAGTAAAGACAGGGCATTATCATTATATATTAAATGCCAGGGCTGCCAAGTTACATCTTACGTTACTCAGAAAACCCAAATAACTACACGGAATGAGAAAGTAACGCTCACTCAAGCACCGCGCACTTTCACCAAGGCCCCGGAGCTGCAGTTCCCGAGTCCAGGAGCAGCCGTGGAATGACTCTCTACCAGGTTAACACAGTTCACGTGAATGCAGTCAACATCGTTCTACCCACACAAGTTCATCCAAAATGTTAGGTTAGTGCATCCATGGGGAATATGACTCTCAAATCCGTGAGAGACCCTACGCGGAACACAAATATCTAACCTATTCAGTCCCATACCAATGACCACAGGACGAATTACATTCTCATTTCAATCCTGCTAAATGACTCAGCAGTTGCAAGAAGCAAGTATTTTTAAAAATTATACATAAAACAATGGCAAAAGTGTATGAATTACACAAAATCTGTTAGACACTGAGTTTTATATATATAAGAACATAAATATATTCTAGCTTATATCATATAAAATTGCCAATATTCCACCAGTTTTGACCTATATAAATAGCAATTCCATGATTTAACTGTATGTGTGCACACATTCAGAGTAATGTCACTTTCCTAAAGACTAGGTTATTATTCATGCCTGCTATATATGTGTGTCTAAAAAAATAAATATGTAAGTAATTAAAATAATCAAAACCTGTCTTGGGCAAAATTTTGCCATATGTTTTAAAGATTTCTTCACTGTCTACTCTGGTCCACCAATAATGCTAAAGATCAATTTAATCTTTAGTCTTTAGCAGGTTTTAAGACAAAAGGATTATAGTTTATCATTATATAATTATGTATCTCTAAAATTACCCAAACTAGATACTAGATTAACAGTGAAAATAATTTTTTATCTGTGAGCATTTTTACTACAAGTTGGCTAATTAAAATGATGTAAAAGTGAATACAAAAAGCACCCAGAGTCTGGTGTGGTGGTGCAAGCCTGTAATCCCAGGCTGAGGGAGGAGGATCTCAGAGTCTGAGGCATCCTGGGCTATGCAGTGACACCCTCAGGGGAGCAGATTGTGGTGGCCACATCAAAAATACATGAGAAAATATCATATAACCTATTTAGAAATTTAAAATAGAAAAAAGTGAAGCTTGTTCACAAATTTAGTTAGACTCTGAGTACAAATTTTTTAATAAAAGCATATTTACCTCTATTTTGACAATTCTTGTATAGTACAAAATTTACCAAATTAAAACTAAATATAAATCTTTTAAAGAATCCTGTGGGACAATATGCAAGTTACAGAAATCTAACTATCTGAGCAAAAGCCTCTGTAAATGATTTTATTAACAAACTGAGTTTTAAATCATGTAAAATTTGCTCATATTAAACTATGGTCTTCTTTTTTGTTTGTTTGGATACCAGGAATCAAACTCAGGACCTTGTCCTTGCCAGGCAGGTGCTGTGCCACTGAGCTATATCCCTGGCCCAGTCTTCTTTATTATATTGTCATCTCTAGAATTTCAAAAATAGCTTATATAGTGAATATTTTATTACACATTATTAATTAAACACATATCAGCTGGGTATGGTGGCACACAACTATAACCTCAGCACCAGAACAGTGAGGTGGGAGCATCACCTTGAGTTTGAGGCCAGCCTGGGTTACATAAGTGAGTTTAAGGGCAGTCTGTACTACATAGCAAGACCCTGTCTTAAAAAAAAGTACTTATCCATGTACAATAAAATACTTGTAGTTTATTTTGTAATAAACTTTGGGATTTTTAAAAAATCATGTAGGCCATTAAGCTAAAAGCCAGGCATGGCAGTACATACCCGTAGTCCCAGCTACCCAGGAGACTGAGATAAGGAGATCCCTTAGGCAACCGTATTAGCCCTCATCTCAGGAAAAGACTACCTTGACTACCTTGCTTGAGAATACTTCTCTGGGTTGATACTTACGCTGCATCTCATTGATGACAAACATGGGTTTAATAACATCCCCAGGATTATTGAGTGCCTGGGTAATATGGTCTTGCATTATACACATCATGCAAAATCCTTCTGCATGACCTGAAAGATAGATGTTAATGCCCCATATTAGCAAAATACAACTAGATAGTAAACCATAAATGAAAAGCACATTCTTGAAATGAAATAACAGTAGCAGCTGCTAGGTGTACGCATGGACTCATCTACTTTTATTTTCACTTAATTCTTTAAAAACAATCCTAAATGATAAGTATATATTGCCTCTAGTTCACAAGAGAGGAAAAAAGGCTCAGAGAGTTGAAAATCTCAAGATCACACAGTCAGACTCAACTCATACATTTCCTAGTTTCAGAGGCTGTGGTATTTGTGATTCGATACTGGAAAAATAAGAAATTTTTATTAGCTGGGCATGGTGGCTCATACCTGTAATCCCAACACTTGGGAGGCTGAAGCAGGAGGATCACTGCAAGTTCATGGCCAGCCTGAGCTACAAAGTGAGTTCAGGGCCAGCCTAAACTGAATATTGAGATGGTATCTCAAAAAAATTGTTTTCTTGTACTACCATTAGTTTCAAATGTGAAAGATATTAGAAATTTCTATGTAAATATTCTGGCTTTCCTGGCCACATATCATGGCCTCTATTTACATTTTTAAAAAACAGTCTTTTAAAGATGTAATAAATGATTCCTAGTTCATGCCAAGTGGTGTTATTGGAAACTAGTGGCTAGAGGCACAATATACTTCTTAATATCCTACAAAGAACAAGATATCTCCTTATAGCAAAGAATTACCTGGCCCCAGATATCAAGAGGTTCTGCCTAGACAAAAGCTTCAGAACTTAATAAAGCTTTAAAATCCTTGAAAGGATCAAACTATTTCTAGTTTACTACATCCCAAAATAAACCTCAAAAATATTTAAGTAGAATCTGTTAGACCAAAAATACACTACAGGATTAATAACAGATTAGAGACCACAGAAGAAAACATTAGTGAATTTGAGGACATTCGTTATGGATAGAACATAGCTGTAATAATACATCAAGAGAAAAAAGAAACCTTAAAGTAACAGTAACAAGAGAGATGTGTATCAGTGAGCTGTGGGACAATTCCAAGTTGTCCTTGGTATGCATTCAATTGCAGTCTGAAAGTAAAGGGATGGAACAAACACGTCGAGAAATACTTACTTACGAAAGAACTGCACAAGGAAGATTCTTAGGGTGATGGAATGATTTTGCATTTTGGCTGAGGTGAGGTGGTGGTTTACATGGATGCTATACCTTTGTTTAAGTTCAAAGAATTTAAACACGAAAATATTAATTTTATTCTGTGAAGTATATAGTTGTTTTTAAGTGACCAAAAGTTGTCCCGATTTCATGGGAATCGTACATATACATATTTAAGAACCTCAATAAACTCAAGTAGCACTGCTTAAGTCAAGCAACGAAATCTTAAAAGCAACTCTGGATAAGAAGCGTTCCAAAGGCAGTGAAAACTGACAGCAGACTTCTTGTCAGAGAGTGCAGGCCAGCAGAGCATACACTAACATCTTAATCTTGTTAAACATCTTAGTTAAAGAAAAATAAGATGCTAACATCTTTCATAAAGATGAGATTTTCATACCTGGGAAAATGAAACAGAACTGGTTTTCCCTATTTCTTCTGCCATATGCAACAACAACAAATTCCTTGAAACTGCATATTCAGCTCGCCCATAAAGAACAAACTTGAGACTTTTGTAGGAAAATGGAAGCAACGAGAGACCGTAATCACAAGTGAAATAAATCAGTCTCACATGTGTAAGCATCACATTGTCTCCCTGAGACATTTAAAGGGTAAATAAAGTCTAACATGTACAATAGATATTGTGACATAGGAATAAAAATTTCAAAAGGGAGAAGGACAGGCTGGAGATACAGCTTCGTGGCACAGGGTCTGCCTGGCAAATGCAAAGTTGTGAATTCAATCCCTGGTACCAACGGCCACAACAAAAAGTTTCAAATGGAAAAAAGAACTAGGATGGGGGAAAAGCAAAAGGGAGGGAGGGAAAAGAGGGGAAATGCAAGTTAATTATACTACTAGTGTCTGTTAGTTCATTAAAAGGAATTTTTGTGCTAATATCAATTGGAGAATTTTTTATGCTTGTATCTTATACTCTGAGTAACTATTTTAAAGATAACACTTAATGTATTGTTATTCTCGTATTATTTTGGTATCAAGTGTTGTTTTACTTTTTTCCATAAAATAAAAGAAAAAAGAAAATCGGCTCTTGAAGGCTAAACGAAATCCTGAATATTACAATGGTTTATGGCTCCCTAAAGTCCCTAAGAAAGACTGAAAGGTAGAGAGAAAAAGACACACATTAGGGACTTCAGGGCTCCAGCATGGTGGCAGTTTCTCTAGTTTTCTTTGTGCCTCAAATATTCCAAACTTGGAGCTAAAGAAGACTGCAACCTAGAAACAGCAACAATGCTCAGAGCAAAGACCCCACAGAAAGCCTGCCTGTCCTACCCAACCAGAGGCTGAGGCAGGGGCAGCCTAGTGTGACAGACAACTTTAGAAAAACTTGTTCTACACCATCTTTTGTATGTATGTATGCAGTCCCCTGCCCAAAATGTTGCGATACCTTTAAAAGCCTTTAACTACAACCTTTGAAAACCTTTCTGGCTGGGAAGGCCCCCACCCACCGCAATGCTTGGGAATGGCTCAGCCAGGTGTGTACCTTTGCTTTGCAAACTTAACAGTCCAAAACTGTACCCCCTCTGTCTGGCGTGTACACCTAGCAGGCAGTATCACTGTGCATGAATGAGCCCATTCCAGGTCCCAGGCAATCACGACCTCGCCTGTGGGCTAGAGCCCACTAGAACTACTCAAATGAGCGCGCCCATGACTAACCCTGCCCTGCTTTGCCTGTGAAACCTCAAGAAATGCTCTGCCCTAATGCTGTCCTCTCATTCCTGCCTTCTACTTCTTGACCACTCTGTGTCTTTCCCACATGTCCCTATGTAGTCCATGATGCCTCCTGTCTTCAGGACCTATAAATACACTAAACTGTACTTTTAAAGCCTCTCCTGTGCCTCCACCTGAAGCTGTTCCTGACTGACCACTATGTAAAAGAACAGCCACACTCTACAGGACAACTATGACTCCAGCTCTACCCACACCTGCAGTCGCCAAGAGGAGAGCCTGGACTTCACCTGCCAGGCTCTAAGGCACCCAGCAGATCTATGGGAGATGGATTAGGAGCTGGAACTTTCCTCACAGTGTCTGTACGTCCCCCCAGCTCCATGCAGGTGAAGGTATGTGGAGCCAGCACGTCCACCCTCACCCAGTAACACAGAGGTGTCCCTTCTAACCCCATCCCTCAGGGTCACAGTCAGGACTTGCCGTGTGGTAACAAAGCTACTCCCACTGCAGCGTCAGTGGGGACCCTGCAGAGATGCAACTTCCACTCTCACCCACAGCAGCAAGGGCCCCAAACCCCACTCTGAGTCAACAGAGGCCGGGTAGAGAACCTGGACTTCTACCTCAGCCTGAGCTCACTTCCTCTGCCTGAGCAGTGCCAGAAAAGCTGGCTAAAAAAGAGTTTAGGTAAGACCCAAGGTCCCATAATATGCAAAAATGCCCAAGTTTCAAGTGAAAAATCTTTTACCACACCAAGAACCAAAAATTCTTCAAAAAAATTGTAACATTCTTACTTGGTTCTACATGTAAGTAGGAAAAGTATTTAAAACAATTATAATTTAAGAGAAAATAAATGAACAAAAAAGATAACCCTTCTAAACTTCCTTCAAACTGGTAAAATGTCACTGCCAGTAGACTGATAAATTATGTATGTATAATGCAATACCTAGAACACCACCAAGGCATTCCCTCAAAAACACCAAACAAACGAAAATGGAATTCTAAAAAATATTCAAGTAACCCACAGGGTGTGTAAAATTAAAAAAAAAACAATAAAAACAAAGAGAACAAACAAAAAAGCAAAACACAAAGTGGCACACTAAGTCTTGGTACATCAATAATCCTCTTCTAATGTTCTATATACACCAATTAAAAAACATAGTGGTGTGTGGTGTACATACCTGTAATTGCTACACTCTAGGAGCCGATCCAGAAGATTCATGAATTTGTACCCAGCCTGGACAACTTAGCAAGATGCTGTTTCAAAATGAAAAATGGAAAACATACTAGGGATATAGCTTAGTGCAAAGGCCCTGGATTCAATTCTCAGTAACAAATAAATGAATGACACAGAGTGACAAAGTGGATTAAAAACATGATCCAATAATATGCTCCTAATAACAAACCAAATTCAAATGTAATACTATTGGCAGTCTGAATATAAAAGTATGAAAAAGATACAGTATGTGCCTGTTACTCAAAAACAAAAAGATCTATGTTAATGTCAGATAGTTAGACTGCAGATGGAAGGCTCTGGGTTTAATCTCCAATACCAAATGAATGAATGAATAAATGATACACATGGAAAAAATGGACAGAGAGAGGGACATTACATATTTGGTGCAACTAATGCATTACAAATTTAAGGGCCAATCCATTAAAAAAACAGATACCTTGCAAGATGTGAGGGCACATGCCTCTAATTCCAACTAATTGGGAGGCTGAGGCAGAAGGATCACAGATTTGAGCCCTGCCAGGACAACTTAGTAAGACTGCTTCAGAATCTGAAAAGGGCTGGTACAGCTCAGTGGCAAATGCTTGCCCAGCCTGTGAAGGTCCTGGTTCAACACTCAGCACCACCATAAAAAAGAAAGGGAAGGAAGGAAAAAGGAAGGGAAGAAGAGAAAAATAACATAGCAATCTTGAATGTGTTTGTACCAAACAATAAAGCTGAAAAATACATGAATCAAACTCAAAACTGAGAAGTGACCAAGAAACATCTACATTTAGAGATGGAAACTCAATGACTCACTGAACAATTCAAAATATATTGAAAAATCCAACAATATTCTCAGCTACCAAGTCAAATCAACATTTATAGAACATTCCATCCACTCAAGAGCAAAATACACATTTGTTTCAGAGTCCTCAAAAAAATTTAAGTCTCCTCCAATCACAATGCAATAAAAAATAAGTATCAGTGAGAGGAAGATAAGAAAACCTCTAAATAACTGGACATTGAAGATGTCTAAATGATACAAGGATCAAAGAATAAGTATCAAAGAAAAAAGACAGGGTTTCATTATGCAGTTCAGGCTGGCAGTGATCCTCCTGCCTCAGCCTCCTGAGTGCTGATATTATAGGCTTGAGCCACCACACATGACCACTCAAGGAAAATTTTATAATACACTGAATTGAATAAAAATAAAATTTGGGCACACACAAGAGTGCTGAAAGGGAAATTTATAACAATTACCAATATCAGGAATGAAACTGAGGATATTACTAATACAGGTCCCGAAAACACTGAAAGAATAATAAATACTACAAATAAATTACACACATAAATTTAAAAGGAATGGACCAATTTCTCAAAAAAGCAAACTATCAGCTTGGTGTGGTGGCACATGCCTGTACCCCCAGAACTCAGGAGGCTGAGGCAGGCGGATCATTGTGAATTCGAGAACAGCCTGGGTTACAAAATGAGTTTAAGGCCAGCCTGAACTCACAATGAGACCTTGTCTGAAAAAGTAAAAAAAAAAAAAAAAAAAAAAAAGCCAACCACCAGTCATCCAATATAAAATAAATATTTTCAGTAATCCTATACTTATTAAGAGAATTCAATTTGTGATTTTTTTTTGTACTGGGGATCAAACTCATAAAGTCACACTTGCCATGCAGGCCCAATGTATGATTTTAAAACTCCCAAAGAAGAGAAACTCTGGGCTGGGGATTTAGCTCAGCAGTATAAGCGCCTGCCTTGCAAGCTTGTGGTCGTGAGTTCGATTCCCAGTACTGGTAAAAAATATAAAATAAAAAAAAAGAAGGAAAACTCCAAGACTAGATAGTCATACTTCAGAATTCTATACATTGTAAAAAGAACAACAGTTGTACAAAATCTTTTCTAAACAAGAAAAAAAAGTGGCTAATGTGTCCCAACTAGCTACAAAATTATGTAGCTAATTTTACCCTGACACCAAAACTAGGCAAAGACAGTACAAAAACAGAAAATATCTCTTGAGTAGAGATGTAAAACCTTTACTAACTTATTAACAAACAAAACTGGTCAATTTATATGGAGAATTATACACTATGACCAAAGTTTATTCCAGGTATGCAGAGATAATACAAAAAAATCTATCAGCGGAATTCCCTGTATTAACAGGCTAAAAAAATATCAAGCTGAGCATGGTGGTGCATGTCTGTAACTCCAGAATTTGGGAAGCTGAGGCAGGAAGACAGCGGAAAGTTTGAGACCAGCGTGGGCCATGAGCGAGTTTAAGACCAGCCTGGACAGCATGGTAAAACCCTGTCTCAAAAAAACCAAAAACAAAACACAACACAACCAGAAAACATATGATCACATCAATTTGATGCAGAAATCACTTGACAAAAATCAATATACATTCAGGATTAAAAAAACTAGAATGAGAAAAATAGGAATGGACAACAAATTGAATGTTTCCTCCTAACATCAGAAAAGAAGGGTGTCTCTTCTCGCCACTTTTATTCAACAGTGCTGGAATTTCCAGCCAGTGAAAAAAGAAAATAAAACAAGGAAATAAATAAAGTAGGCAGACCGGGAAAGTATAAGTAAAACTGCCCTGAATAGCACATGACATGATATGACCGTGCATGTAGAAAATTTCAAGGAATCTACCCCCAAAAAACAAAAACAAAAACTGGAGCTAATAAATGACTTCAGGAAGGTTACAGTGTACAAGAAATCAACATGATACAGAAATCAAATGTGTCTATATTTCAGCAAGAACTTCACAGACAGCAAAATTAAAAATAAAATATTACAACTAAAAACAAACCAGCCAGGAGGAGGAGGAGGAGGAGGAGGAGGAGGAGAAGGAACAATGTGTGAATCTAATGAAACAACTTCCTCTTGCCCTCCTGGTACCAGTACTGGGTTTTCAACCACACCCTACTTTCTTTCTTTTTTTTTTTTTGTCTTTTTCCTTTTTATTGGTACCAGGGATCAAACTCACGACTGCCTGCTTGCAAGGCAGGTGCTTATGCCGCTGAGCTAAATCCCCAGCCCCACAAAAGTCATACAAAAGCTGTCTGTGGGGAATGAATCTTGAACTTAGAAATTGAGGGCAAATGCAGTATTTATTCTATAATTTAATATAATCCCCTGGCATAGCAAGTATCTTTAGCTGAGGAGACTCTATGTGATTTTTCTTAGCTTAAATTTTTCTGTACTTACCAAATACTTTATTAATTTACTCGTGGATGGAAAACAGTTGTGAAACAACCCACTTAAATTCTCCTTTTAGTAAAGAATTATGCAAGAAGAAACTGAGGAGGTTTTTGTATGTTTTATTCAGATCACTGACAAATCACACCAGAGCACACACACAAACCTGAGCATTAACTCAGAGCGGAGAGCAGGGAGACTTCATTTATAAAGGATGACAGATAATCAGGGTATGCAGGAGTCAAAAACCTCAAAAACAGATATTGTACATCCTGCTTCAGTAGTCACACTGAGCTGGCTTCTATGTAAAGGCATCTGTGTAAGTTTTAACTGATTTCTGCCCCAGGTTGCACGTGGAGCCTCCAATGCTGAAAGGAAAGCCCTGCAGGACCCCACGAGGTTGGGGGCCGGGTGAGAGCTCTTCTCCTCTGCTCAGAAGCTGGGAAAGGACTGAAGCCTTCCAATGAAGGCCAGAGGGCAGGATCTCTTAATCCTGTCTGTCCCAACCGTTAATGTCAGACATCAGGTCACATTTTTAACACGTGTAAGAACTGGGGGTGTAGCTCAGTGGTAGAACATTTGCCTGACACACGTGAGATCCTGGGTTCGACCCCCAGCACAACAAAAATGGGAACAAAAACATTTTAACAATGTAGAAAACTAGGCGGGGGTTAGAAATGCTAAATGATATACAAATAGATTTCCTTTTAAATACCCACCCTGAGGTCAAATTAGATGCCATACACTTTTTATGAAGCTAAATACAAATCCTGGGGTCTAAAAGAATGAAGTACCTTTACAAATTTTTTTGATACATAAGCATTTCATTTTTGATTGGACTCAGAGTAGAAGCTCTCAGAGAAAAGCCTGCATCTGTTGGCAATTTGTTCCTGGCGTTTTTCTTTAGCTTCCTTCATTCTCTTGGCCAGAAGCTTAGAATATTCTGCAACCTCTTTGTTTTTCTTAGTACGCGGCTCCTTCAGAGCCATACGGGCAGCATTCACATTGGATGACACATGGAGTAACAAGATGCTGAGTCTTGGGGGCTTTCGTCTTGGGTTTATCTTCTTTGTTTAAGGGCTTTCTGACAGCCTAGTGGCGGACATCATCATCTTCAGAAAGATGGAAATGTTTATGGAGTCTGCTTGCTCTTTTGGGCCCCTGGCACTGAGGCACAGTAGTATCAGTCAATCCAGGAATATCTTTCTCTCATTTTTTACAATAAACAAATTGAGAACCCTCAGATTGGCATCCACAGTGCCACCTGAGACAGATTTACGCTTTCTCTCTCTGGTTCTCCCTGGTCTGTAACAGGAATGCCCCTTGCTCAGTAGCAAGTGGACTTGACCATGAATCGAGAAGCCCTGCTTCATGGAGAAACCTTGCTTGTCATTCTTACCACTGATTTGGACCACATGACCCCCTGTTCTTCACCCAGAGTCAGCAGCAACTTCTGTGGCCATACGCTTCTCACGGACTGTACCAAGTTTAGCTTCATCACCCACCTCAGTGAGTTTCTGGCAGCCAGTGGCTGGGAAGATGTTCAGTTTCATCTTGAAGCAACTGATCACCCTCCCGGGGCCACAGAAAAGAACAAGAATAAGCCAACTTCTTAATGATCACACAACTCAACTTAATTCCTTTCATTTTAGAGGGGGAAAAAGTGAGTAGGTTAGCATACCACAGTCCACAAACACCACTGTGCACAACACTTACATGTCTCGGAGTGTTCATGCGACAACATGTAATTGGCGAGAGGTGCTGTGTATGTCAGACACTGCAGCGCTGCATTGGCAAAGCAGGTGTTGCCCAGGTTCTGAAGCCCAGCACCAACTCCGTGAGTTTGCTGCCACTTAAGACAAATCTTCTCTGAGGGAAAAAGAATTTTCTGTGGCAGTGCAATGCCGTCACCTGGGGATAGAAAAATACACAACAAAGACTTAAAAACAGAACTTGGCATGCTGCTAAAGCCAAATAAATGATACTTGATCGACATTCTAAATCTCATTATCGCTGCCAGAAACATGGGTTAGAAAGGGACATTTAACAAGACAGGACCTAGAACAGGAAAAGCTAAGATTTAGTTTCTTCAACAAATTTCAAACACAAAAGGTGGGAAAGCTTACAAATTATGAGAAATTTCATAGACAGATCCACGAATGCAAAGTGCAGACTCCAGTGGATATCACTTTCAATGACTGAAAACAAGCTACACAGCCACCCATGACAGTGCACGCCTGAAACCCCAGCTACTCAAGAGGCTGAGGCAGGAGGACTGCTACCAATTTAGCAAGATCCTGTCTGAAAATAAAAAAAATAGCTCAGCACTTCCTGGGTTCAATCCCTGGTACTGTAGTACCAGAAAAAGTGTGACAACCAGAGATATCTGAATATTGACTACATTTTTTACTACATTTTCTTTTAAGAAGAATCCTACAGTGGGTGAGTTGGCCGTAAGTAAGTAAATGTCAGCGCTGGCTGACGACTTCGTGAGAGTGCATTACAATTACTTCTTTATAGCTACTTAACCCAACCAATGGAATAGACAAGGTGAGCCAGCTCCTTGAACGTTTGCTTTGGATGCGTGTATTCAGGGCGCCTCCATCCTTCCCATCGCATAGGCTGGGCCTCCCCTCGTGTCTCGGTTTCAGTCCTGGTGGTTGATACTGGTGAAGAGACAGCTTACTGTACTAGGAACTTTCAATCACCAGCAGCAAAACTGATTTTCCAAAGGATGGCAAGTGTCTTGGTGCTAACAGAGGCAAAGATGGCCTACAGGTGCTTCCCCACTGAAGAGATATTACTGATTATTTCAGTAGGCTTTGGCTTGAGAGGGAACAGAGAACAACCAGGAAAGGAAAAATGAGTCTGTGGAGAGTAAGACAAGGGCAGAGTGAGGAGCGAAAGGGAAGCCCAGCAATGTGACAGGAGCTGGAGCCCTGCGGAAAGGTGGTCTGTGGGAAAGTCTTTCTTGTTTTGCTTTGTATTTGTGCCTGTGGGAAAGTCTTGATGGAGAAGCCAAAGGACCTCAAACCTTTATGTGTAACATAAGTTGTTTTGATCTGTGACATAAGCTTCCCCTCACATACACTCAGAACACCTTCGACAAACCACACCACCCACTCCCACACCACAGTATCAAAGTTACCAAGAGGACTCAAAACAATACCAGGATGGAACTATTCTAAGCTGAACCAAATTCCCATTAGAACTAATTCTAGTATTATCTTTCTTTGCCTTTCAAATCTTCAAGGGTTTAAACATAAGCCTTACAAGTACCAATTGAAAGTGTCGAGGTTTCACTCATCTGGATAAATTTTAACAAATGTAACTGTGTTTACATTTTCTACTCTTTTCCAAAGACAGATGCAGTATCTACTTAGGGAACATAATAACTACTGGTTAGCTGAAAATATAAGAATTTCTCCTCTCCATTTTCTCCAAGATAGTTTATCCTTCTAAAAATTAGAAATAAAAGAGACTATTCATATTTGAGGAACTAAAAAAAATAGCCTGTTATACTACATATATTAATAATGAATGCTTACTCATTAAAGGAAAATAATTTGCATCATATAATTCTGGCCACATGTGTGGAAATATCTCCTACAAAATAAGCACTTCTCTGAAACTACCAACCTACTGACAGCATTTATACAGGAGTTTCTGGCAGTGAGTTTTTTAATAGTACCTTGATCCTTTGGTGGTGATGGCTCTGATCTATCAGAGACAGCCGAATCTGAATAAGCAGCCCCGGGCACTGGTCCTAAAGAAAGTGTGTGACTGGAAACATCACTTAGTGAAGACACAGCACTCCAGCCGGCAGAGTCTGTGTCCACATCTCCAGTGGAGACTGCCTCGGAACGGCCGGGCTGATTCTGACGGGCTGATGGGTCTGAAGAGTCAGCTCTGCCAAATACAGTCATTGTTCACTCTACAAAAGTCAAAAAAAACAAAGGAATCTACTCACCCTGCAATTAGATTTTGGAATGCTTTCTAGCCATTTTAAATTATTTTCAAATAAATCATCCGAATATAAAAACATTAGTATTTGGGGGCAGGCAGTACTTGGAATTAAACACACGGTCTCACCCATGCCAGCCAAGCACTCTCCACAAAACTGCATCCTCAGCCCTCTATCTCTTTTTAATAATTTTCTTGGGACATTTAGAATCATGCTAACCTAAAAATATCAATTAATTTCATTTCAAAATCTTTGACAATGTATTCATGCCTTCTAAAAGTATACTTGAGTTTTTGATCAGGCACTTCAATTTCCAATTCTATATTTACTCACATTGAATAAGTACTTATTTGTATGTCTCTTTAACACTAGGAACTATTATTAATATAATTAAATTTTCAGTTCACATATAATTTCTCAGGGAACTGTCTTGACTACATGAAGACAAAAACTAGTTTTGATTTTTTAGATTAAAGTCCAAAATGAGAACTTACAAGGAAAAATATCACTTCCTAATATAAATAATGGAAATCTATTCCTGAACAAACAAGAATTCATGCTCTCTTAAACAATGAAAAAATACAATACTGGAAGTCTGCCACCGACACATCACCATCAAACCAAGCTATTTCTGCCTGAAAGGAGACAAAATTATCTTTATTTGCATGTTATACATCTATCTATGAAAAGGAGAACCTGAGCACATACTATCAGGATCCAATTATAAAAAACAATGAAAATAATGTTAATCATAGGTGCAGAGAGAGGAGGCAAAACCAGAGTGAGGGGAGGAGGGTATCATGGTCGGAACTGTGTAATGGGAGGGAGAGCTGTGTCCTAACACTCAGGATCACATCAACTGGGTCAGATCCTTAGAGATAAAGTTAGAAGAAAGTCTTTAGGATGGGTCCTAATCCAATGACGGCGTCTCCGAGGGAAAGGGAGTCTGGACACGTGACCAGAGGGACAAGTCCATGTGAAAGTCCAGGAAGGAATCAAGGTGAGGCATCGACAAGCCTGGATGTGTCAGCAGTGTTTTATATGCTCTGTATTTTATGTAGTTTAGACATTTTAGGTGGTGTGTTTGCCTAAAATTTTCCTCTCCTTCATGTAGTTACTTTTTCTGGATAGCAAAGGGCCTCTCTAAACACATGAGTTTCCTATAAAAACCAACCAACCTGGGGTCTGATCTCAACCACTTATTTATCTAGATATTTCCCTAATATTTCCCCTGCCTAAACCATCCAGGCCCAAATACAAACATCTAGAGATGTTCCAACAACCAAAGCCCAATAAAATTATCTGCCAATCTGCCATTTTTAGCTGCCTACTCTGGTCTGGCTTGCTTTTCCTCCAAAACTCCATAAAGGCGGATTCGGTTTCCACCACATTCTGATCTTCTGCCAGGTGACCCAAACCAGATGCGTCCACTTGGTTCCACTGGCTTGGGCAACCTCCTGTGTGAGACCTGGTGTTACATGAATGTCTTCCTCCCGGTGCTCATTCTTGTCCCATCTCTGGAACACAAACCCCTTATCATCCTGTGTCTAAGATTACACTCTCAGAATAATGCAGATTTCACAGACTAGGCTGTGAGAAAACAGGGTGCTAAGCCAAGTGCCTCACTCACCTGAAGGAGTTGGTGACAAAGTCTGCACCCTCAGGAGACACCCACAAACAGGGAGATTCAAGGGGTGAAGGCCCAGCAGAGTCAGAGAACCTCTGACCTAGGATGGATGTTCATCAGTGGTATCAATGTCCTAGGAGGAAAAATGAAGGCTTGTCATTAGGAAAGGATGGTTATGTCAGCTCGCATGACTGCTTCCCAGGCATTGCTCCTCAATGTGTAGACGTGACATTTACTGTTCTCCACAGAACTGTGGAGTCATGCCAGTAAGACTTGCATTCTACACACTAAAAGTCAATTGCATTGCTCAAAATCCAACAATTACTATCTTTGTTTTTTTAAAAATTTATTTAAAGAAAGACTAAACAAAACAGAAAACAGGTAGAAATAATACGTACTTTCAAAAAAAATTAAGAAATCACTAGTTAATGATTACAGATTGTCCTCTTACAAATAGTTATTAAAGATATTAAAATGGAGCATATAAAGTGGGGATTCAAACAGTGAGAATGCAAACAGTTCTGTTCAACTATCCAACAAAAACTTAGAAATATGGTTATCAATCCTATACACATAAACATACATACAGTTATCCATATCTTCAATTATGTTGAGACTGAACAAACCCAAGCAGACTAATGTCACTCTGAACAAAGAATAATACTATTACTGGGTTTCACAATATGACACTCCAGGATCAGCACTGGGTACTTTAGTGTCTCTTTTTCTTCAAAATATCTATTCATTTCATCATGTGTCATAAGATCAGTTCTCATAAACTGTTTATAGATTCTACACATGCATGAGTCTTAACATTTATTTCTATCCTTTCTATATTAGAGGGAGAAACAAAACAAAGCAAGACAAAACAAAATATATTCCTATAAATACATGAAACGAAAAAGACATGTAAGACCATTGTGTATAAGGAGTTCTACCATAGTTCCTGTGTTGTCTCTTGTTATCTTCAATAGACTGGCTATATCATCAGACATAGTATAATCGAATATATCTTACATAACAGTATTAATAAAAACATAACTTTGTATATAGTATAAAACTTCAAAAATAGGCAGTTATCACACCAGAATGTGTATCGTAGAGTCTTGTCATCTTCAGTGCAGTTGCCTATACTCTCAGACTTGATACTATCAATCATATCACTTTTGAATAAAATCTGTCAATATCAAACAGCAATCAAACAACAGATTTAACTAAGATCAGTCATGATAAAACAGTATAAGTCATACAGGGCTCCAGATTAAGATAATAGGAAATTAAACATTACTGTGTTATATCCTGATGTTTTTGGGACAGCTATCTGTGCCCTCAAATCTAATGCAAGTAGACAAATTGGGAGAGAATAAAATCTATAAAAAAGAATAAAACCTATCTAAGCAGAGTGGTGTGAGTAATGTGGGTTTTAAATTCTGATACACTATTCATCTTCCATCTTTTTTAAGACTCTCCCTCCCCTTTCACTTCCCCAGGGTACACTGTGCATTTTGGGGTCTGACCAAGACCCTTGGTTTTAAATTGTGTGTGTGGGGGCAACCTGCTATTTATAGGTAAACCTTCTCTCTCCTGGATTTGATCTCTAATTGTATTCCTTTATCTATTAAAGCATGTCTTTCCAACCTATCCACAAATGCTGGTCTAGTTGCCCCTATAACTCTGATTCTCTGTCACATAGAGCATTGTTTTCTCATATTTGATTTTCAGTTATGTACTCTCTTTCATGTTAATTATATTTCCTATAAATAGCATCTCGGTGGAGCCTCCCTCCTGATCTACTCCATGTATAGTGTATCAAGGCCATCTATATTAGAGATTATAATGAGCCTTCTCTGCCTCATTTCTGTTATGCTCTTTTTGGCCATCAGTTGTCTGCTTATCTTTTTCATTCTGTTTTCTGCTCCATTCTTTGAGGCCTCTCTGCCACTGTTTCCAGAATCCTAGTACTTTTTCTCTCTCTCTAGAATGCCCTGAAGTATTCTCTGTAGAGTTGGATTGGTGGGTGAATTTCTCTAGTTCCTTTTTGTCTTGGAAACATCTAGTTTCTCCATTAATTTCTACAGACAGTTTAGCAGGGTATATCAATCTGGGCTGGAGGTTATTTTCTTTCAGGGCTTGGAATATTTCACTCCAGGCTCTTCTTGACTTGATGGTTTGTGTCGAGAAGTCTGCTGTTATTCTGATGAGCCTTCCTTTATAGATTTTCTGTTTCTGGTCTCTAACAGCTTTTGATATTCTGGTCTTATATTGAATTTCTGGGACCTTGATTATTATATGCCTGGGTGTAGCTCTGTTTTGGTTGTAGGTGGCTGGAGTTCTGTATGCCTCATACATCTGAATATCATTTCCTTTTCCTATGTTTGAGAAGTTTTCCTTAATTATTTCTGTGAATAGCCTTTGTAGTTCCTTTGTACACCTGCTTCTTCATTCACATTCTTTATTCTCAAGTAATAGATCCTCTTGTTGTCTTCTAGCCTTTGTATTGTTACTGCTTGTTTGCTTGTTATTTTAAAAAAGGTTTTCCTTCCATAATCCTACATTGCAAAACTGTCTTCCAGTGTGGATAATCTATCCTTAGTTTCTTTCAAGCAGATTTGCCATCTTTCCAAAGAGTTTTTAATTTCTTGGTTATCTCTTTGAATCTGCTTCATGTATTCTATATTTTGTTTATATTCTTCATCAAATGGTTCTCTCCTTTGAGTTCTTCCCTTCTTCCATCTGTGTCTTCTTGAGGGGTGCTTAGCATCTCTTTTATTAATCTTCTTATATCTTGCTTTACTTGGATAAATATTTCCCTTTTGAACTTGTCTATGAGGTCCCAAAGATATCTCTTTATGTCCAGTGGTGCTATATGTGATATTGCATGTTTGCTGTTCTCATTCTCCTTTGTATTTACCTGTTCTGGGTCAATGTTCTCAGGGTTGGGACCTGGGGACTTTTTGTTGTTGCTTCCTCTTCGCATCTTTTTTGTTTCTTCCAGGAGGCCCCAGTTTCTTTCTTTTTTGGTTACAATTCTTCTGAAGCACGCTGGCTAGGTGACCCTTTCCCCTGCAGTGTGCTAGTGAGTTGCAAACAGAGGCAGCATATGCTGGCCCCTCCCCTCCAGATCAGTCAAGCTGTTGAGGCCTTTACTGTATTAGTGCATTGCCTCCCCTCTGGGTCTGTCAAACTTCTGAGGCCTTCACTGCACTAGTGTGTGCATCTACCATAGGAAATTGATTTTGGACAACCTATTGGGTCTCAGCCAGGCCACATGACCCAGGCCAAGCTCTCTCCACCAATCCCATTCGAGAAGGGAACAACTGACTGAAGTCACTATG